CCCCAAGTCCAATGCGAAGAGCATCCTACAAGAGGGGAAGCAGTGGTGTTCTGGACCAAGCTAGTAGAAAGCCTAATCTGATCTCAGCATTCTCACCTCAGCTCGATCACTCACTGACCATGTTTTCTAATCAAGAGGGCCTGGACGGATGAAAGTCCCTTTAAAATCTAACATTCCACAACAGTCTGAGAATTTGTACTCATGAGGGAATTTACTTGGATTCAAGTCCTAACAAAACTTCCTAAAGTTCCAGTTCCCTAAATCTGAAGGTCAGAACCCAAAGGTCACAAAACACACAAACCTCACATAGTTAAAATGGGAACAGGAATCAGTGACCCCCAAATGCTGTGCCCTGCAGTAGCCAACAGCTGGAAAACTCAGGGAGGGAAATCCAAAATCAAGGTCACCGTGGTTGTTACAAACACCAGAGAACAAACTCAGTTTCTGTGGGATATGTTTCTACTTTGAAAATGTCTATCTCGCACTCTGAAGAAAAAAGGAATATTTCCATGTACTGACTTCTCTGACAGTGCTAGGACCCACCATGGAGTGAAAGAAATAGTAGGCAAAGGCAGCAATGCTGAGATCTCTCAGGAAAAATCATTAATTTCTTCATGTCATAAGCAAAAACATCCCTGACACTCAAAAAAGAGAAGCAAATTCATGGACAAGAAGAAAAATTTCAGGAGAGATGAGGTCATATATCTAATGGCAGTTTTGGTACGAGTGCCAAAGCTGACCTGGCCAGGGACTTCCAGACCTCTTGGGGCCTTACTTTTCTCATCTGTAAAATGGAGACAGATGCTTACCTCATAGGTGCTTATTAGGATCAAGTGAAATACTAAACACAAGGGCACTCTGTAAACAGCAGACTGTGTGTGTGTGTGTGTGTGTGCAAGAACAATGATTAATAAAGGAATTTCAAAGGAAAGCTAAGAATGGTGCTTCTCAAGGCCTGACAGCAAAAGGAAATATAAATATAGCAGTGATTTTACAATTTCATAATCTGGGGGAAGAAATGGTGATCAGAGTTGTGACAAACAATGATGCCCAAAAGAGAAGAGAAACCAGCTCAGCTCTGTCATAATTGTCTCGGTTCCTGTAGCACACACAACAATGGAAAGACCGCAGGGAGGGGCAGGAGTGGCCTTTGTGACTGTGGCACCCCAGGAACCTGAAGACGCTGGACCAAAACAAGGACATTTCCACCTCCATAATTAAAATAATCTCATAGTGTGGTTCTCTAAGAATTTTTGTGTGACTTCACCAGTTTCTCAGCCATATCTCTTGGAAAACAGAAACAGTGATCATAACCCAGAAGTGAAACATAACACTGCTGGTTCTTTAAAGTAGCACAACTGGAGGGCATGAAGCCAGCTCTAGGTGTGCTCACCTGAATGGACAGAAATACAAAGGCAGACCCTGCCCACATCTGGGCTGCAGGGCCCAAAGAGCAAGACAGGACCTAAAGGGCGTGGACAGGAGGTGGAGGCCACCTAGGCAGTAGGTCGTCATAGCCAAAAACACTCGACACTGAGGCAAAGCCATCCTCCATCCTCACTCTACTGGGAAGAAGCCAGGTAAGGACACGGGTAAAATATAAGCTGAAAATCAAGTCCCCCACCCCTGGGCGCAAAGTCACAGGAAGAGTTACAATTTAGGAAGCAAGATGGTGCCCTCTTGTCGGCACTGGGCTGTAGTTATCACAGAGGCCTCCCAGGCCTTGAGATAGCAGGTGCCAAAGAGAGGAAATAAGCAAACTAAATCAAGCTTTAATTCACTGAAGAGAAGACCTCAGCGGCAAACAAATATAGCCAAAAAAAGTAAACGAAAACAAAGTACATGCCCATGCACAAGTTCAATAGCAGTTGGGAAAATGCATCTTAAAACAGCAATTACATACTACTTGTCACACACAGATTGGCGAAAAATTAAAAGATTCATCCAATTCACTTTGGGATTAGATGTGTGGGAAGCTAACATTCACAATAATATGTTTTTTTCTCATGAACAGATGTGTTCTCTATTTATGTGTTAGACATATGACTTGTCTATGGCTACTCTGGTGCTACAGTGGCAGAGTTGACTGGTTGTGACAGAGACCATCGGCCTTCAGAGCCTAAAATATTCACTACCTGGCCTTTTATTGAAGAATTCTGCAGTCCCCAGTTCTAAATGAAAAAGCGTTATTGCTTTCAATGGCTACAGATATAATGAATCTGTTCTTTTTTTTCTTAAACCTTTTACTATTTTTTAACATGGCCTTTCATACATATCAGGGTGTGTTTTGATATATATTCTTGATATAACTCTTTTGCATTAGTGCCTATCAATTATCCCAGAGCCATTTGAATAATCCTCCCTTTCCAGGATGTTTCGAGGGGGTCCCTTTAGGCATAGTTAATCCTACATGCAACTGCTCTGTTTCCAGGTGTGTTACGTTATGCAGTGGTCCCACCTGGTCCATCACTGGCACATCACCATTTCAATTAGGGTAGCTTTACAATGTGCTATAGCATCTGACCAGCTGGTCCCTATTTCCCATTTCTCTGCTTTTCACATTTCTCTTAGCTATTTTGCCTGCTTTTCATCAAAATAGTTTTGTGTTCTTTTGTTAATATTCAAGAACGATTAACTCAAAAGTTGTCTTGAGATTACATGGACTCTCGGAGAAAATAACTACTTAATAACCTTTCTGTTTTTATTTAGGAATAAGATACACCTTTCAATTAATTCAAGGGGTCCTTCATATGACTCAAAAGGTTCTAGAACCTCTTTATATAAGCCATGCACAATTCTCATTAAAATATTTACTCTTTGTTTTGCTTGTGAATAGCTTCCCAAAGATTGCAAAGTATTCATTTTCCAATGTCATGTACAAAATCTACCTGGGAATGAGACGTGAAGAGACATATTTAACCTTACAGTAACCAAAGAAATGCTAATACCAAAAAAACCAATGTATCTGGCGCTGGCACAACTGGGAGGTACTGACTGACTCACACATTCCTGCTGCAGACGTAGAGAAACATCCTGTTTGGAAAACGTCATCAGCAGATTTGAATAACCATAAAATGTTAACCTCTGACCCTAATATTTAAAGCCTCCAACATCATGTTCAACACTTTGATGGACTGTTATATTTATGCATAAAACTGTCAATCACAGCAATATATGAAAATAGTGAAAAAATTAAGACGTGGTATAATCACTCAATGAAATATTGAACAGATGTTAAAATTTTAATCATTCAAGAATATGTAGCAATATAGAAAATGCTTAACGTACAATGCCAAGTGATACATAGCACCATGGTAACTTATGCCAATAGCTAAACATTGGAAGGAAATACACACACACACACACACACACACAAATAGACTGCCCCTGTATCAAGGTGGTGGAATTATGGGTAATGCTTTTTTCTACTAAATGTTCTGAGTTGGACAGAAAGTTGCAAGATTAGTTGACAATTTTCTTAGGAAGTGGAGACCAATTTTTAAGTGCCTTCCAGATCTAAGATTTGCAATTCTTTTTCTGTTAAAGGGGGAAAAAATGAGGCTCAGGCATGTGAAGCGATTTTATGAGGTCCTACAGAGGAGTCTCCAGCAGCACCGGGACTAGAACCCAGGACTCCAGGATTGAGAAGCAGTATTCTTTCCTGTACAGTATTTGGTGTCATCATTTTTCTAAGGGCCAACAAACTCTGGGGTCATTTTAATATTTTCATATATATGTTATAAATAAATACATGAAAATAACAATGTTCAATTACTGCTCTAAGATAGCAATGGCTATACAAATCCTACAAAATGCTTTGATGTGCTGGAGTTTGAATTAAACTTCTTTTCTAAACAAGTCTATTCAACAGAGTAGAGGACATCAAAGTATGTCTCTTCTACGAAAGCTTGCTTTTGTACACATAGTCATTTCCTCAACAAGTCATAAAGTAATTTTAGTGCTAAGTTAAGAATTGAGTTAATATAAGGTAGATTTTGGCGCTGCACATCCACTTGAGAACCTACAAAGTTTCAACTTGCAGTATTATCACTCCAGGGGAAAAAGTTCCTTCAAAATTAAAAGCTAATGAGAACTATTTCCTTGACTTTTCTCACTGCAGCCTGACAACAAATTTGGCAGAAGAGGTGTTTAGATACCTATATACACAATGGATAAGCATAATTAGTGTCTAGTATTCTATTATACCTAAAGATAACATTTGGAGCCCATATGTATTCACTGTGTTTTGAATTTTGAGGGGTTCTAATTAGATCCCAGTGGAGGTAATATATTGAAAGGAACAATGTAAAAAAATCATCAGATGAAAGAGAATCAAGAATAAATGGTTAATAAGGCAAAGAGACTGTGTGTGCACATGTGTGTGTGCATGTGTGTGTGATCTCAGCACTATTGAAAGCACACTTTCCAAGAGTCTGATCAACCACCTCTAGTGACGGGTGAGAGGGTTTCCAACTTCCTGATAGGCAACAGGCCTTTCTCTCAATGTCTGTGGTTCACTACACAGTGACACCATCAAGTACCAATCATCAGCATCCCTCATAATATTTTTGTTCACCTTCTGAAAAAAAGCACACACCCTTCATTCCTCTTTGCTATTATTCAAATCACAATAAAATAAAAACTGCAGGGCTGGGATGCAAGCTGGAATGAGGCAGAAGCCAGGCAAAATAGTGGGGGGCAGGATAGTGAAGAATAAAGGGGAGTCAAATAAACGGTGACAGAAGAAGACCTGACCTTGGGTGGTAAGCATACAACACAATATACAGATGATGTACTAAACACTTGAGACCTATCAAACTTTATTAATAGCATCCCAATAAATTTTTAAAACTGTAATGCAAAAGAAGAATCATTTTTGCAGAAAGTTAGAACTTGAGGGTTACAGATACAGTGAAAAATGACTATACTGGCAATTTCCTGAGCGTATGTACTTCAGTTTAATCTTTTCTTCTCACAAACTTTAATACATGCTTTTGTACCTTTAATGTTGAAAGTGTCCTGGCCCAGCAAGTGTTAGAGCTCCCACTGAAGATGTGTCTCCTCAGCCAGAGGCAAAGCTCCCTTAAGAAAAGAAACCACTCTTTAATCATCTTTTTAAGACTTAAAACATCTTATGCAGTGCCTAGTACAGAAAGTAAATTCTATTAAATAAACTGTATATCTATTTATACCAAACCATGATAATGAGGTGAGAATAAAATAGAAAATATTGAGAATAATATTTACCCACAAAATTAATTAAAATGGATTCTATGTGTTCATAAAGCCTATATTCAACATAATAAAATAAACTTACTAAATATTCCAATAATACGTGGCAAAATATTTTCTATGTCTGGTATCATTCCTGATTATGTCTAGGAACCAATGTGCCACAACAGGATAAAAAAGAGAGTGCAATCTGAGCTAGAATAAAATAGAATTACATTCAAAAGTAGAATACTCATCAAATTTTAACCGGACAAAAGTCAGTAATTTCATCCTAAAAAAAAAAATTTAAACAGCAAGATGCTAAACAGCAGTGAGCATCATTGGAAAGCACAGAATGGGCATGTTTCATGAACTAGCAACCATACTGACTTGAATCAAATATACACGAACCCTTTCTAGGCCTTCATGTTCTCTGAGGCAGTTGAATCCTACATCCATCCCTACAGGGTTTTAGTTGCCAAAGAAAACACTAACGTCATCATTGCTGGGGAACAGTAACAGCATCGGGAGACTCTTAGAGGGTGGGGGGGCCAGCACATGTGCAGAGGGTAAGACACAGGAGAGGGGACAAGAAAAGTCAAAGAATAAACTCTTTAAGAAGTTAACACCCCACTAACTCCCAGGAAAAACTCTTCAAAAAATACTAAAACAATAACAACAACCTCTCCCCAAAAACAAAGCAGAGGAAGAAAAAAATAAGACCCTAATTAAAATCATGCATATGAACCTCTTATATACACAGCTTTCGTTGTTTTAGGTTCTGCAGGAGCTACAAAAGAAGTGTATGTAAATGCAAAGGAGGACTGTACCAGAGAGTGAAAACAAACATCACAATTACTGTATGTAGATGCAGGAAAAGGTGATTTCTTTATAGTCCTTTTGAAGAGCTTTCTCTTCCATTACTATAGTCAAAAAGTAAACCCCAATCCTTGAGACAGTCAAGGTAGACAATATCAGTAACTTCATTCTACAGACTTGGAATTTGATGAGAGAAAAATCCATCATTCAATCAACAAATAATAAATAACCAAGCCTGGACTTGAACGGGTTTACTAACACCTAAATAAATGTGAGTTCTACGACATTCAGCTACGTCACTTCAGCGTTAGTTAATATACACAAGACCGGGATGAACACATCATTCAGTGACAAAAGGAGGTTACAGGAGTTCAGACTGGTGGACATAGATTAAGATTGGCAATGGGTATTTGGGCAAATGGAACTTGAGGTAGGTCTCACATTCTAGAAGAAAAGGAGAAATAAGTTGTTTCTTTTTGTCTCTCCTCAAAAGTTCCTTCATCTCTGTCATCTACTGCTATGATTTTATTATATTTTGACAGTTCCTAGTTCTAGTCCTGGCTTTTTTTTTAAACATCAGCCTTGAACATCCAGTAATACATTTACAGAACTTTCAAATCTGAAAAGGTGAAATAACTCCCGTTCTACTCCACACACATGGAATGTGTTTGAATGAAGGTTACCATCCAGTCCCTAAAGTCCTATGTCAGGAAGCCTGCTCTGCCCCAGGGTGAGGCACTGGCTTCAGGGACTTGGCTGTCCCTCAACGTTGCTTCATGTGTGACGGCTCCACTGGGAACCTCCTGGGTGAAAAGGTGTTGTTGGCCACAGAGGAGTAAAATACTACCCAGGTCATCGGACCAGAAAACCATTTCAGAAACAGTAAAACATTCCATTACCAATAGTTCCATCTTAGCTCTAAATGGCATGGAATGCTCAATAATGCTTGTTGAAAGAGGGAGAAGGAAAGAGAAAAGGAAACAAAAAGAGAGGGAGGGAGAGGAGGGTCAGTGGCAGAAACAATGGTCAAAAAGGAGGATTTTTAATTTAATTTAACTGACTTTTATCTCTTATTATTTGACTAAACCTTTGTTTTATTTTTTATTTACTTTATTGGGGTGACACTGGTTAATAAAATTATATGGGTTCCCAGCATAACTTTAAAATATGTCTTAGAGACTCATGTGTTGACTTGGGGTTTATGTTATTGTCACATGTGGACAGCTGTGTGTCTTTAATCACAGTACCATCTTGAACATGTTCACTTCTCTCTAGGCCTCTACTATCTATTTATTACAAGAGGGTCAATCAACTCCAGAGTCTAAAAAAGGTAGAACAGAGCAATGCAAAGGGCAGGAGGCTAAGAATGAAAAACTGTGAGGAGTCTAGGTTCTGGTATCAGGCCACAGAGTCTGAGTCTAGGTCCTGTCACCTACTGGCTCTGTGACCTTGGGAAAGTTGACTTCATTGCTGTGGGGCTCAATTTCAAAATCCATGAAGATCAGTTATAAAGATTGAAGGTATAAGTAACAATTTCAAATTATTGTATGTGATTCTTCTCTGAAGGAACTTAAACTACTTGAGAATCCTGTGGGGGTGGTGATAAGGAGGAAATATACCTGCACACAAATCCAGAGAATGGTGCAAACAATTTTGGGAAGCTCATGAACCACTAACCTTTAATTTAATAGCCCTTGAGCCCGATGGCCATTAAAATCTCTTCTCTTGCAAAGTCCTGTGACGTGGGCAGTTCAGAAACAGGCAATGAGTGATTCCTCCAGGTTCCAAGGAACGCAAACATAGGTCAACTACACACAAGATACTGATGACTTCCATTTGATTGTCAGGAATCTGACAAATGAATATAAGGAACACATCCAAGGCCAAGAGTCCAAAGGAAACCTAAGCAAACTAAGACTCTGCTATGGATTGAACTGCATCCCCCTTAAATTCATACATTGAAGCCTTAATGTCAAATGTCATGAGGTCTCAGGGAAGTAATTAGGTTATGATTGGTTCATAAGGATAGGGCCCTGATGATGAAATTAGTGCCCTTGTATGAAAAGATATCAGAGAGCTGGCTCTCTCTCCCCTCGCCATATGAGCATATAGTGACATGGTGGCCTTCTCCAAGGCAGGAGGAGGTGTCACCAGAACCTGACTATACTGGCACCCTGATTTCATACTTCCAGCCTCCAAAACTGTGGGAAAACAAATAAATTTCTGTAGTTTAAGCCACTCAGTCTTTGGTATTTTGTTATGGCAGCCTGCACTGACTAATACACATTCCACACCCACAAGGTCCCACAGAGACAATGAAATGAAACAAAGGGGCCTATTTCTTCATGATGTAATGACACATACACGGTGGACTTTACCATGAAAGGGCTGCCTCATCTCAAGTGCTCAAGGAACAGCATTTTTAACTATAATCTACAGGTTTATTTTTCACATGCTTGTAATAGTTTAAAAATAACTGCAATGGAAAAAGTCACCTGTGCTTTTTCTACTTGCTCCACCAAACAAATTTATAAAGTACGAGGCTGCAAAATATGAAGAAATGGTTCTTGCAAGTCAGGTGTCCCTGATTTCACATGTGGCTCTCCACTACTAACCTGGGTGACCTTACTGTTTAGTTATGATTTTTTCAAATTATACACATTGAGTTATATTACTCTCCTTTTGAAAACATCTGTACCCTGAAAAAAGTACAAATTATTCCTATTTCTATAATCTGCTACCAAACTATATTTCCAACTATTTCATTTATAACATCCCCCAAAGGTCCTACTCTGCAAATCCAATATTCTACTTTCAACCTAAAACTACAGCCCATATTTTCCTATCAAGTTTATTCTCTTAGCTCACTCTACTGCATCATTTTGGGGTAAACTTCCTTCACTCTCCAGCAATCAAAAACAAGCCCTGGCCGGGTGGCTCACGTGGTTAGAACACCGTCCCCACATGCCAAAGTTGTAGGTTTGATCCCCAATGAGGCCACACACAAGAACCACCCAATGAACACATAAATAAGTGGGACAACAAGTCAATGACTCTCTCTATCTCTCCCCAAATATCAATCAATAAAAATTTTCAAAAATCATACCAGAGCACGGATGAAACTGGAAAATATTATGGGAAGGGAAAATAACCAGTATGATTCCACTTAAAGGAAATGTCCAGAATGCGCAGCTCTAAAGAGCAGGAAAGTAGATGAGTGACTGCTTAGAGCAGGTGGAAGGAGGTTTGGGGAAACGAGGAGTGAATGCCAGCGGGCACGGGGCTTCTTTCTGGGGTGACAAAAATGTCCCAAAGTTGATTTTGGTGATGGTTGTACAACACTGTAAATATAATAAATCCCATAGACTTGTACACTTAGAGTTAACTGTACAATATATGAATTAGAGCTCAATAAAGCTATTATTTAAAAATAGAAAAGGAAACTTAGCCATCTATCTAGGTTTTTCAAATGTTATATAAATTTCTTCTCCCCACTTTATCAGTTAAAATCCTTCTCTAGACCCCCCTCAGAATGTTATTTGAACCTTTGTACCTCTAATTACCGTATTTCATTCTTGTTGGCAACATAATTATGTTTTGTTATTCCCTGTCTGCCTCCCGTACTAAAGTATGAGCGCTTTCAGAGAAAAACAAACCTGTGTCAGACACTTCCATACCCGGCCTCTCTAGCCAATAGGTTCTTTTGTGTACATTAGGAAAATCCGCCCAGTCTCCGTCTGGTGAGTGGGGGATGGACAGGGTTGGAGTCCTACGCACCCTCCAGCCTGGAGCAGGACATCATCCGAACGGCAGGGAACCGCAGCTCTGCCGACACCCTTGTCTGGCTCTCCTCCCCCCACAGTCCAGTAAAGCGACCAGACACTCCGACACTCCAGCAGAAAGCTCAAGGCATTCATATTTGGGTTTTCCTATACCAGTTGTTTATTTTTGCATTACCTCATGACATGAAAAGTGTCTTTCTTACTAATTGAATTCAAAGGCTTCGGGTATACAAATGAAATATATATAGTGAGTTATTGTAACACATTTAG